AGGTCCTGTATTTTTGTCTGAGGTCTTGTTTTTATGTTAGGGCGTGTGGCGTCCGCCTTCCGCATCCTTCCCTCTTTTCCTTATCTGTGGTGAGGTAGGTCAGGGGAGCTGATGGGGTTCCCCCAGAAAACCAGCGTTGAATGTAATGAAACACCATTTTCTGGGTGAGTCCCCGGAGGCTCCCCAGCATCCCTCCCTCCCTCCAGTTGGCGATGTTTTTCTCACTTTTTAACATCCAGCCTTAGAACTGAAGGTTGGGTTGCCAGTGGGTGGGTCTGGGTCTTCCCCTTCCCCCTCCCGGGGAGGGGGGAGTTGCGCAGACAGCAGCGCAGCGACATGATGACGTCATGCTAGTTTGCTAATTTTTGTTTAGGGAGTTCTGTCCACTTGTTCGGCCTTTGGTCTCAACAGTTTTACCAGAATAGGGGTTTGTTTTGGGGTGCTTACCTTTCTGGGTGCCTGTCCTGGTCGATGGCAGACATAGAATGCTTCCAACCACAGGGGGGGTCTCTGTAGGCCATTGCTCCTTGTGCCTCTCTAGAGGGGGACCAGGTTCTGGCTCGTGGTCCCCGGTAGGCAAGAACTCCATGCATTGACTGATGCCAGAAAGATATACATATCCATTCAGCCTGGATAGCTCCGGGGAGCTTCCGGGACTCGCTCAGAAGATGGCGTTTCATTACATTCAATGCTGGTTTCCCCCCCCCCCCCCACACACACACACCTGCTTCCAGGAAACAGCTTGTAACAGCTGCCTAACTCTCAGATACCTATTTACTGGTAGGTAACAGGGGCATCAGGGTGAAAGAAACTGGCCATTTTGTTTCTCGCCAGCGCTGGGAATCAAACCCCACTCCACAGGATTGTGTCCCCAGTGTGCTGTCCACTCAGCCACCAGCACCCAGTCAATCCTGTGTTAGTCCTAGCTGGGTCACTCACACCACCAACTGCTTCCCATCCATCCACTCTTACCACCCATCATGCTACACATCTGCTCACCCACTGTCTCCTGACTGCCTGACATTTACTTTATTTATTTATTTATTTATTTATTTATTTATTTATTTATTTATTTATTTATTTATTTATTTATTTATTTATTTATATATATATATATATATACAAGAAGGTACATTGGGATTGTGAGGATATCTAGCATAGTAATTACATTGTAAAGCCACTAGTACGCGCAGCGTTTCGGGCAGGTCCTTAATCTAAGAAACTTATAAGTATGTAAATACTTGTAAAATTTATAAAAATGATAACAGTTACATAGCATGAAAAAAAAATGAGAGAAAAATTGTAGGTATATTAAAGCACATAGGTAGCTCAGATTGATTGCAATGACAGCTTGAATGGTAGTTTAACAAAACTTAGCAGGCACAATACAGCATATGGCTAGCACATAAAAGAAGACAGCAATGAACACAGTGATAAAGTTGTTTGGATTAAGTACATAAAGATTGGGAGATTGGGTAACATTAGATACAGAGCAAATTTAAAGCTCAGTGTAGGAAACTACGAAGATGAAATTAAATACTTTCTGTTTTTGTTTTTAAATGAGGCAAAAGTTTGACAGCTTTTCAATTCATTAGGGAGTGAGTTCCATAGACTAGGTCCCTTAATTTGCATAAAGTGTTTACACAGATTAAGTTTGACCCTGGGGATATCAAAGAGATATTTATTTCTGGTGTGGTGATTCTAGGGCTGGTGTTTCTAAAAGATTTTCCTTCCTATTCACATCCCTCCCCCCCCCCACCAGCCTCCCCCCCCACCAGCCTCCCTGTCCCACTTGCCTGCCATCCATCTGGTTCCTCCCCACCATCCATTCATCCAACCATCTATCCATCCAGTTTCCCTCACCATCCATCCAGTTTCCCCCACCATCCAACCACCCATCCAATCCCCTCACCATCCATCCATCCAGTTTCCCCTACCATCCATCGAGTCCCCTCACCATCCATCCAATCCCCTCACCATCCATCCAGTCCCCTCACCATCCATCCAGTCCCCTCACAATCCATCCAGTCTCCTTACCATCCAATCCTTTCACAGTCCATCCATCCATCCAGTCCCCTTACCATCCATCCAGTCCCCTCACCATCCATCCAGTCCCCTCACCATCCATCCAGTCTCCTCACCATCCATCCAATCCCCTCACCATCCATCCAGTCCCCTCACCATCCATCCAGTCCCCTCACAATCCATCCAGTCTCCTTACCATCCAATCCTTTCACAGTCCATCCATCCAGCCAGTCCCCTCACCATCCAGTCCCCTCACCATCCAGTCCCCTCACCATCCAGTCCCCTCACCATCCAGTCCCTTCACCATCCATCCAGTCCCCTCACAATTCATCCAGTGTCCCCACCAGCCCATGCACTCAGTCAACCCTTGCTTGTATCAATTAAGTCGCAAGTTGAGGCAAAGGTCGTAAGTAGAGTCGCATTTTCTGACAAAATTTACGTCGTGACTTGAAAAATTCGTAAGTAGGGGCAGTCGTAAGACGAGGTGCCACTGTGTCTGAGTTTACCTGAGAGCCACTAATACTAGTAGCCTCAACAAGGACAGGAAGCTGGCGGCTAGTCAAAGGTCCCACCCCCCCTTTGCCTTGATGATCTTTTCTAGCTGTATTTTAAAGCCCAGTAGAGTTTTGGCGTTCATGGCTTCGGTGGGTAGGCAGTTCCACGGGTTTACAACCCTATGGGTGAAAAAGCATCTCCTGTTTTGTGTCCCACATTGTGGCTTGTTGAGCTTGAACCCATTGCTCCTCATTCGTGTTACATCTGACCTTTTGAAGAAACTGTCTGGATCGACATCCTCCAAATAGTTTAGTATTTTGAAGGTTTCTATGAGATCCTCCCTGTCATGCCTGGTCTGCAGAGGGCCCAGTGGCCCTCAACCATTCCTGATATGAGAGATGACTTAGCTCTGGTATGATTTTGCTGCCCGGTGTTGTACCATCTCCAGAGCAGCTATGTCTTTCTGAAGGTGAGGTCTCCATGCCTTAATGCAATAATCCAGGTGGGGGCGCACCAGAGTCTTATACAGTTGAATGACTACTTTCTTTTCATTGAAGGTAAAGATACACTTGATTATTCACAGGGTTTGGTTCACATTTTTTTTACTGCTGCTCCCACTTGTTGTGCAACTTTTAGTGAATGATGGATTCTGACTCCAAGGTCCTTTTTCTTCATCTATCTGTTCTAAAGTAGTTCTGTCAATTTGGTTGCTGTGATGTGGATTGTTATGCCCCACATCCAAGGTCTTGCATATATCGACTTTAAAAATCATTTGCCAGTCATCTGATCATTTGTAGAGTTCATGTAAATCTCTTTGTAAGGTCTCAATATCACTTTCACTTCACACTTTACCATAGATCTTAGTGACATCTCCAAATTTGATGATATAGTTTGTAATATTTTCATCCATGTAATTGATGTACAAGATAAAAAGGGCTGGCCCAAAAATAGACACCTGTGGCATCCTACTTTGGATATTTCCACAGTCAGATTCATTCCCATTTAGCACGACCCTATGTTTCCTATGTTTTAACCATTGTTTTATCCATTCCAGTATTCTCCCATGTATTCCATGTGGTTGTAATTTCCTTGCCAGTCTCTCATGTGGTACCTTGTCAAAAGCTTTAGCAAAGTCCGTGTAAGCTATATCTACCAGAAGGAAGTAAGCTACAGTATGGTATAGACAGTATGGTATGAACAGTATGGTATGAACAGTATGGTATGAACAGTATGGTATGAACAGTATGGTATGAACAGTATGGTAGGACAGTATGGTAGTACAGTATAGTAGGACAGTATGGTAGAGACATTATGGTAGAGACAGTATAGTAGGACAGCATGGTAGGACAGTGATGAAAACTGACTAGGAAGGCTACAAAATAAGGTTGCCAAGAAGTTTTCATTGTATAATTATAATAAAATTGTTCGAGATGTGTACAGGGGTGTAACACTGGGTGGATAACTTTGTATTGTATATGAATTTGCTTAAAATACTTGATACATTGATAAACCTTATACTAAGAGACCAAGTCCTTATAATTAATGACATGAATTTGTTGTTGATAGAATCAGAAAATGAAAACATTATTTGTAACAACTTAGGCAGATTATTGCAATTCTGGGTAGAGTGAACACCTATACAGCTTCAAAACTTACACTTCACACATAAATTGAAAAACAGAAATAACATATAGCTAACAATTTGTAGTGACACATAGCTTATTCGCAAAGCATAATGCAGTTGTCACTCAAATCAAATGAAATGGTGTGCCACAGTTGGGAAGAGGAAGCCTGCTAGGCTTGTGAGAATCTCCCATGGCCAATTACTGACCTTCCCCCAGGCTGCAACCCATAACAGTTGCCTCTCGACTACCTATCTACTACTAGGTAAATAGAAGCATCAGGTAACAGAAGTCATTGCACAAATGCTTCTGCCGTGCTGCAGCTGTGGCTCAACTGCACTAACCATGGGGGCCACAATACAGCAGCCTACTGACCAAGTGTTTCATGATAATGTTCACAAACAAGGACGGTGTTGCCCATTTCTCTCCATGGTTTGAGAGATAGTGGCTTTATTATTTTGTTATCCATTATCATGTCCTTTGTTTTATACACAGGTAAAACGTTCCAGTGCATGTCATGTAATGCTTCTTTATCTTACAGTATACTTCTCAATCTAAATAGAATATCCATAAATATTCTTTGTTTTTATTTAATTTTGGCTTTAAAATTACTGTATTATACTGTATTTAAAAAGCTTACAAAATCAATATAAAGTTTTTTATAGTAAAAATATGATTAGTAAAATGGTAACCTTTCATAATACTGCATCTACTTGGTATCTAATGTAAAATGAGGTTGTCAATGGAGCTTTAATGTAGAAAGAATTGTGTGGATATTATGACGGCAAGAGCCAGTGGTGTGGAGGCCCGGTGAGTGTGACGTGCCACTAGTGAGGTGTGTGTTGCTTGTCTTGTCAGGCGCAGCCACATAATCTGCCCCCCGGTAGAGATGCTGGAAGCTGAGGGGGGGCTCCAGCCTCCTACAGACCCCCTCACACCCCCCCTCTCTCTCTCCGACTCACTTTCCACCGAGATGCAGTAAGCACATTACTTTTCTAAAAAAAGATTTTTAACATTACAAGCACTTTTTTTTAAGAATTTTATATTTTTTAACGTGTAAAATATTATCAATTATAATATTATTAAACACTTCTGTATTATCTGATTGATGATATACATTGTGTATTTTTGGAGTGCTTGTAATGACATTTAGAAACAATAGAGCAACTAAATTGAGAATAATTTGAATGAATTTTACCTTTGTATAATTTATATATTTATTTTTAAAAAGCAGTTACACTATATTTTGTTTTGGAAATTCTGTAAATGAGACAAGAAGCTCTAGCCTCAAGTGGCTGTGACATACACTGCAAGGAATTAGTTTGTAGTTTGTGCTAGCTTATGCAATGAGTTGTTAGTGCTAAGGTCACCGTGATCAGTCATTAGTACTAGGTCACTATGACTGGTTGTTAGTGTTAGGTCACTATGACCAGTTGTTAGTGCTAGGTCACCGTGATCAGTCATTAGTACTAGGTCACTATGACTGGTTGTTAGTGTTAGGTCAATATGACCAGTTGTTAGTGCTAGGTCACTATGACCAGTTGTTAGTGCTAGGTCACTATGACCAGTTGTTAGTGCTAGGTCACTATGACTGGTTGTTAGTGCTAGGTCACTATGACTGGTTGTTAGTGCTAGGTCACTATGACCGGTTGATAGTGCTAGGTCACTATGACCGTTTGATAGTGCTAGGTCACTATGACCAGTTGTTAGTGCTGGGTCTTGGTGACAGGTTGTTAGTGCTAGGTCACTATGACTGGTTGTTAGTGCTAGATCTCAGTGATCAGTTGCTAATGCTAGTTCTCTACACCTTCTAGGCTCTTTGATAACATGTGACTGAAGGACAGACATTATACATCTAATGCTAGTGATTATGGATGATACCATGTTATATATGAAGCATTTGGCAATAGCTCATTTACAAAATTAAAATTCTTGTGTAGGGAATAAGTTACAATATCGTGACTGAAACAAATAACCCGTGACCAGTCATATAGAAAGAAATGAGTGACAAAGTTATGATCGGTCTTAGATCTAAAACAAGGTCATGACCGTCCTCGACTTGATGGGGGTCGAAGACAGACTGAAATGCCATCACTTTCTTTTTATGTGTATGTGGCTTGGGTTATTTATTTACAGTACTGATTGTGACTAAATGTAGACTTGAATCATGAAATATTCAATAACCAAATCGTTATGATGCAAGTTATATCAGTTGTTAGTCAGTTTTAATTTCCATAAAGAGCTTGACAATTACTGCACTTGTGTAAATGGGCCAAACAGAATGGTGATGCCTGGTATGCTGAAATGGCTTGAGGTAAGGAGCATGATCATGTAGCCGCCCCGCAAGTCTGTTGCACCAACCCAGCAAATATGCAATGTAATCACAGTGTCCTTTACATTGATACAATGTTAATTATGTTGTAGCAATTTAAATATTGTGGTTAAGTTGTGTTTGGTGGGAGTCATCTTGCTCATATATTTGAATGCAACTGCATGGTTTTCAGTGTTAGTCAGTTTTTTTTATAAAGAAAAATATATTAATAATGCAAGTATACAGAAGTTTATTTCAACTTAATGTCAGCATAGTTTACTTGATATGAAAACAGTGTTTAGAGTTATAAGGTTTGCGTAGAGTTGTATAATTATTGCTTCGTATTGCTTCAGTGTTAAGTACATTGGCTGTATAATTACTGCTTCAGTGTATTAACAGGCTTGTGCAGTTACTGCTTCAGTTTTTATACAATTGTATGATTAGGTAAGTATTACTATATATATACAGTAGTCTGCATATATTGTGTTTATCTATGTGTAATATTTTACAAGTTTGTATTGTTTAATTCCACAATTTATGAGGAAATTTGTTATTCACAAGGGAGAAGATATAATTACTTTTGAAAAACAAATATAGCAAACAAAATGCCTAATTGCAGAGAAATCACGATCATCCTTTAACCCTTGTGTTGATCAGGGCTCATTAGCATTTGTCACCCACAGGCGCATACCAAAAAAAATAAAAAAAAATTTCTTCCCAACCTGTTAAGTCGTGTTCCCTGACCACGAGAAAAATAAAAAAAATCATTTGTACTTACCATCGATGTAATTGAGCCAACAATATGGGCGATGACGTCACACCCTGCATGATCGCTCATGCACGGTGCATCCTGGAGGCTTCGCGCGCAGTATTCAAACAGCCACAGTTGCCACGAATTTATTTTAGTGTCATTATTTACAGTCTCTAGGCATATTTTATCACTAATATTAGGCATATTTTATCACTAATATTAGTCACTAATTGTGTTGCATATAATGTTACATCATGGTCAATGTCAATAAATGTTGCATACATCCAGTATACACATGCGCACACAAATGTTTTCCATTATGCCAATATATTATGTAATCACAATGTTCATTGTTATATTTACACACATGCATGCACTATGTACAGGTTTTTACACTACTATTGTACATTTAGAAGTCTTGGAGAGAGTGGTAGTCATTGAAGCAGTTGACAGCACACAATGGAATTGCACACGCCTCACACCATGTTTGCACCAGTTTACGTTTCTGATCTCTCCTTTTTGTTGTTTTATAAACTATGCATTCACGTTGGCCTATTGCACGCTTCCCAGCTGGTGGCAAATTTTTTAGTCTGTGTGCTTGAAAGGCCTCCATGTATATGAGCCTGGATGTAGCAGCATGCTGCAACACTGGGTTCATGATGGGTCTTTGTATGCCAGGGACATCTTTGCCAAACTTTGCTAATAACTGTGTCGCAAGTGTAAAAGCAAACGCACGGAAACTAGGTTTACGTCCAGTTTTCACCAGATACATATAGCAGTTCAGCATGCTCATGTCAATAAGATAAAAAAACACTTTTTTCATACATTTCAATGTTTTCCGCACACACTCGATAGTCCCCACCATCATGTTAGATTCATCAATCAAACGCATGTTGATATTATAGTCAAGAACACAATCTGGCTTATATACTGGTTCTTTCAGTACACGGTTCACCTTGCCACTGTTCAGCATTGTACCATCATGAAAGGTTGTCAGCATGTTCACTTCTCTCTTGTCTTTCCACTGAACCGAGAGTATTTGATCACATTTTCATAGCTGGCACTCACCAACTGCAAGTCTACCGTCGAACACTGGCAATTTCCCTTCTTCATGGCTTTACTGTGCCAACCAGTCTGGTTCAATTTTCAATCAAGAACCTAGCTAGCAATAGACTTGTATAGTAGTTACCCGTGTATAAGATGTGGCCCTTGTTCATCCATGGTGCCATCAGTGACTTCACCACTTCACCTGAATTCATAAGGGAGCCGGTCGGCCGAGCGTACAGCACACTGGACTTGTGATCCTGTGGTCCTGGGTTTGATCCCAGGTGCCAGCGAGAAACAATGGACAGAGTTTCTTTCACCCTATGCCCCTGTTACCTAGCAGTAAAATAGGTACCTGGGTGTTAGTCAGCTGTCACGGGCTGCTTCCTGGGGGTGGAAGCCTGGTCGAGGACCGGGCCGCGGGGACACTAAAGCCCTGAAATCATCTCAAGATAACCTCAAGATAACCACACTACCCCGAGAAACCATGTTCGTCATTACCGGGAATGTCTACATCGCTAGCTGAATAAAGAATCATGTGTAACACGTATCCTGTTTCACAGTCACAAAGAACAAAGAATTTCAATCCAAATCTGTTTCATTTGGAGGGAATATACTGTTTGAATGAAACACGTCCTTTGAAAAGCACAAGGGATTCGTCAATCACCAGCTTCTGTGCTGGGACGTAAAAATCTCCGAACTTTTCAATCACTTCATTCATATGGTGCCTCACTCGCCAAAGTCTATCATCCTCTGTCCGGTCCTCATTACTTGAAAAATGCAGACATCTGAGGAGTATCTGAAACCTGTCTCGGGACATATATTTCCCGAAGAAAGGTGTTGGAATAGTCAGTTCTTTGCTCCAATAATCTGTGATAGCGTGTTTGACACATTGCTTCATAACATACATATTGCTAAAAATACATACATTTCACCTACAATGGTGGTTTTCCAATGCTGCAATCATGAAAATTCTGTTATCTCTTTTCCAATGAGATGAGCCGCATGAAGGTTCGTTTGGTGTACAATATATTCCATGAGCGGCTCATCGTAAAATGCTGTAAAATAATCCAATTCATTCAAGTCCTCTCCATTATCAGGGAAAAGCTCTGCAATCCCAACGTCTTTATTGTCAAAGGCAGGAATTCGAGGAATAAAACCGGCACCATCACTCCACACTAGTACACATGGTGTCCTGCGAGACGTAACAGAGCCACAACGACGAGGAAGCGATGCACACCGTGGACCAGGAGCTGAAGCCCGTCTACACACAGTACGGCCGCTACGTGCATGTGAGGTGGAAGCACATGAACGTGAGGCTCTTGGTGCCTCATGTTGTTCCATGCGGTGGCACTTGGCTGGGCGAGACGCTGCTGAAGCAACAATTTCTCACTCGGTAACACCACTGGTACTGGCAACAAGCTCGGTAACACTATGCTCTGATTCCACTTCACTACAACCAGAAAAAGAGTCACCTTCTTCTGTCTCGTCACCCAAAATATCCTCAGACTCTAAATAAGCACAGGAACTGTGTGGTCGTGGGTGAATTGGAGTAGACGCTGAGTGAGGTGGCATGGGTGAGCGTATAGGCCTCACCATGGGAGGCGGCTGTATCTCATTTTCACTGTTGGTGCTACTATCATCAGTCAATTGTGTGTAGTCCCTATCATTGACAGAATCATCAAAATCACTTTCCTCACCATCAGAAAATAATTCACTAGTTATTTGTTCTTGGGTGAGTGATTGCGTGGTGCCCGCCTGGGAGGCGTTCGGCCGTGTGCTCGACATGGTGGCTGCTGGTTAACTGATGCCTCCCACACGATGGTAGCATGATCTGGATTTTTTTACAAAATGGCGGCTGTTTACTATAGC